AAACAAAAAAACCAAACCAAAAACAACCCCACAACCCTACTCTAACACTGCCTTGTTAATGTAACAAGACACAACCCATACTCACATAGGATTACAATCACCAAAATTAGGATATGTAACACATATTTCTTGGAGACACAAAGAAACTCATAACATTGTTACCTGAAATCGAGCTCCTGAGGTTAATGGAACAGCCTGGGCCACAACCTCCACAACTTTATTCTCGATCTGCACTTGATGTTTTCTCATTCTTATCACACTTTGGGCAACTGAAAAGCATTTGGAGAGTGTTAACAGTGATCTTTTTTTAAATTTTATGCCTTTGATTCAAGAAGAAATTATGCTGCCTTTAAAATTTTTTTTTCATTTTAAAGGATCTCATTTTTATTTCATTTTTCTCAGAATTCTTAATATTTCATTGTATTGCCAAAGTAAGATTTATTAGTAGCAAAACCTTTAACGTCAGCAAAAAATGGCAAAGCAGAAGCTCATCAAGTCACAGGCTCATTTATTAAGCCAAATAATGCTTCAGAAATTCTTGCGTTGTTTCGTTCCAGCCACACCCTCTTTCCCCACCCCAACTCCCAACCCTGACAGTAGACAGGAAACTAGAGAATTCCCTGACAATATTAATATGCAGTCAGAATTTCTCCTCTGTTAAATAAACTGGAAAACTTTTCTAGGTCAATGTTCTTCTTAAAATGAATCTTAACCGTACATAACTGTATCATCTGTCATTCATTAAATGCATAAAAATACATTTTTCTTTGTGTCTGTTTTCTGGGGGTTTTCAAATTGAAGACCACACAAGTTTAAATATCCAAAGAGTGAGTATTATTTTGGGGGTTCTCTTGGCCACATTTAATGAGGATTTCTACTTTTTCTAAAATGTTGAGACCATTCTTTAAAAAGTTAGTTGACTCTGGAGAACATTATGCTGAGTGAAATGTCCCAGCCACAAAAGGACAAATATTGCATGGTGTCACTGTTGTAGAATGGAACTGTCCTTGAAGTTGGGGAGAGACTGGGTAAGATGGGTTCAATAATGTATACTGCACTGAAACAGAGAAGGGAGAAAACTGTTTAAAAGAGATATGTGATTAAGTATTTCTGTCATGACAGGAGTCTAGAGCGATGGCTACATG